CTGGCATATTGAGTGCAGCACTTTCACAGCATCATCTTTCAGGATTTGAAATAGCTCAACTGGAATTCCATCGCCTCCACTAGCTTTGTAGTGATGCTTCCTAAGGCCCACTTGACTTCACATTCCAGGATGTCTGGGTCTAGGTAAGTGATCACACCATCGTGGTTTTCTGGGTTATGAAGAACTTCTTTTATATAGTTCTTCTGTGTATTCTTGCCACCTCTTTTTAATATCTTCTGCTTCTGTTAGGTCCATACCATTTCTGTCATTTATTGTGCCCATCTTTGCATGAAATGTTTCCTTGGTATCTCTAATTTTCTTGAAAAGATCTCTAGTCTTTCCCATTCTATTGTTTTCCTCTATTTATTTGCATTGATTGCTGAGGAAGGCTTTCTTATCTCTCCTTGCTATTCTTTGGAACTCTGCATTCAAATGGGTATATCTCTCCTTTTCTCCTTTGCCTTTCCCTTCTCTTCTTTTCATAGCAGTTTGTGAGGCCTCCTCAGACAGCTATTTTGCTTTTTTGCATTTCTTTTTCTTGGGGATGGTCTTGATTCCTGTCTCCTGTACAATGTCATGAACCTCTGATAGTTCTTCAGGCACTCTATCAGATCTAATCCCTTGAATCTATTTGTCATTTCCACTGTATAATCATAAGGGATTTAATTTAGGTCATAAATCTGAATGGTGTAGTGGTTTTCCCTACTTTCTTCAATTTAAGTCTGAATTTGCCAGTAAGGAGTTCATGGTATGTGCCACAGTCTGCTCCCAGTCTTGTTTTCTGACTGTATAGAACTCCTCTGCCTTTGACTGCAAAGAATATAATCAATCTGATTTCGGTATTGACCATCTGGTGATGTCCATGTGTAGAGTCTTCTGTTGCGTTGTTGGAAGAGGGTGTTTGCTATGACCAGTGCATTCTCTTGGCAAAACTCTTGTTAGCCTTTGCCCTGCTTCATTCTGTACTCCAAGGCCAAATTTTCCTGTTACTCCAGGTATCTCTTGACTTTCTACTTTTGCATTCCAGTCCCCTATAATGAAAAGGAGATCTTTTCTTGGGTGTTAGTTCTAGAAGGTCTTGTAGGTCTTCATAGAACTGCTCAACTTCTGCTTCTTCAGCAGTACTGGTCGGGGCATAGACCTGAATTACCGTGATATTGAATGGTTTGCCTTGGAAATGAACAGAGATCATTCTGTCGTTTTTGAGATTTCATCCAAGTACTTCATTTCAGACTCCTTTGTTGACTATGATGGCTACTCCATTTCTTCTAAGGGATTCCTGGCCACCGTAGTAGATATAATGGTCATCCAAGCTAAATTCACCCATTCCAGTCCACCTTAGTTCACTGATTTCTAAAATGTCTACATTCCTAAAATGTCAGCGTGTATTCTGCTGCCTTTAGATGGGATGCTCTATCAGTCCATTAAGTCTAATATGTCATTTGAAATCAGTGTTTCCTTGTTGATTTTCTGTATGGATGATCTGTCTGTTGATGTAAGTGGGGTGTCAAAGTCTTGAATTTCATGCTTACTGTCAGTTTCTCCCTTATGTTGGTTAGTATGTACTGTATGTATTTTAGGTGCTCTTATGTTGGGTGCCTATATATTATAGTTGTTACATCTTCTTGAGTTGATTCTATGTTCATTATGTAATGTCTTTCTTTGTCTCTTGTTATGGTCTCTGTTTGAAAGACTAGTTTATCTCATACAAGTATTGCTACCCCAGCTTTCTTTTGATTTAAATTTGCATTGGATACCTTTTTCCATCCTCTCACTTTTGGTCTGAGTATTTAGATCTGAAGGGAGACTCCTGTAGGCAGTGTGTATGTGGGATTTGTTTCTGTGTCCAGTCAGCCACTCTGTGCCTTTTAATTGAAGCATTTCTTCCATTTATATTTAAAGTAATTATTGGTAGGTATATATTTACTGCCATTTTGTTAATTATTTTCCTTTTGTTCTTTTCTTCTTCTTTGCTCTCTTCCCTGGTGATTTGATGGCTTTCTTTAGTCTTATGTTTGGATTCCTTTCTCTTTTGTTGTGTGTGTATCCATTATGGAGTTTTGGTTTGTGGTTACTATGAGGTTTATATAGACAGTGTATTTGATTACACTTATATATACATATGTATGTATATGTATTCTTTTTCAGATTCTTTTCTATTACAGTTTATTATAAGATATTGAATAATCTTCCCTGTGCTATACAGTAAATCCTTGTTGTTTATCTATTTTATATATGGTAGTGTGCATCTGTTAATCCCATACTCCCAATTTATTCCCCCTCCTCTGTAACCATAAATTTGTTTTCTACGTCTGCAAATCTATTTCTGTTTTGTTAAAAAAGTTCATTTGTACTTTTTTTTTTGATTCTGCGTGTAAGTGATATCTTATAATGTTTGTCTTTGTTGGAATTAATTCACTTAGCCTAATACTATCCACGTCCATCCACATGGTTACAAATGGCAGAATTTCATTCTTTTTATGGCTGAGTAATATTCCATTGTATATACATACCACATCTTTATCCAGTCATCTGTTGATGAACACTTAGGGTGCTTCCATGTTTTAGCTAATGTAAACAGTGCCACTATGAACATTGGTGTATGTGTATCTTTTCTAATTAGAGTTTTGCTCTTTTCTAGATATATGCCCGGATGTGGGATGAGCAGTGTTGAGAATCTTTTCATGTGCCTGATGGCCATCTATATGTCTTCTTTGAAGAAATGTCTGGGCTTAATTGCCAAAATACAGAAATAGCTCATACAACTTAATAACAACAGCAATAAAAACCCAACCCAATCAAAAAATGGGCAGAAGACCAAAACAGAGATTTCTTCAAAGAAGACATGTGTGTGTGTGCACATTTGTGTTCAACTCTTTGTGACCCCATGGATTCTTGGCTTGAAATTCCATGCACAGAGAAGCCTGACAGGCTACAGTCCCATATATTCACAACGAGTTGGACACGATAGAGCACATGTGTGCACACACATGCACATATGTCTTCTTTGGAGAAATGTCTATTTAGGTCTCATTTTTTGATTGGGTTGTTTTTTGTTGTTGTTGTTGAGTTGTATGAGCTGTTTGCGTATTTTGAAAATTAAGCTCAGGTTGATTGCATCATTTGCGAATACTTTCTTCTGTTTCCTAAACCTATGGACTTTCATTTTCTTTATGGCTTTCTTTGCTGTGTAAAAGCTTATAACTTTACTTTTTATTCTTTTCTTATTTGTGTTAATAGCCTTTTCTTTTTTGCTTAGAAAAGTTCCTTTAGCGTTTCTTTTAAAGCATGTTTTGTGGTGTAGAACACTTAGCTTTTGCTTGTCTGTAAAAGTCTTTATCTTTTCTTCAACTCTGAATGATAGCTTTTCCAGGTAGAGTATTCTTTGTTGTAGATTTTTTTCCTTTGATCACATTAAATATACTGTGTCACTTCCTCTGGTCATCAGAACTATTTGCTCCAGGGGTGCTTTCTGTATGGGCTGCATGAACCCTTCTATTGTGGTGGGCTAACTACCGTGGGTGGACCCCAGGTCTGTTGGCTACCAGGCATTGCCTAGTGCATAGGCTGCTGGCCCACTGGTGTTTGGGGCTGAGTCTTGGGGCCTCTGGCGGGCAAGTCTCGTTCTTGTGTGACTGGTAACTCAGGAGGTCCTATGGCAACTGACTTGTTGGTGAGTGAGGCTGTGTCCCTGCCCAGCTAACTGCTTGGTTTGGTGTGTGCTGGGATTAGTGCCAATAGACTGGTGGGAGGACTGGGTCACAGTACTAATAATCTAGAGGGAGGATTTCAAAATGGCCCTTGCCAGCCACAGAATCCTCACGGTCCAACGAGCACCTTAAAATGGCTGCTTCCAGCGTATGTGTGCCCAGGGTGAGCTGTAGTTGTTTCCTGCCTCTTCAGGAGATTCTCAAGATCAACAGGTAGGTCTGACCGAGGCTCCTTTCAAATCACTGCTTCTGCCCTGGGTCCCGGAGCATGTGAGATTTTGGGTTCACCCTTTCAGAGTGGAGTCTCAATTTCTTACAGCCCCGGGGTCTCCTGAAAGGAAGCCCTGCTGGCCTTCAAAGCAAAATGTTCTGAGAGCTTATCTTCCCAGCTTAGAACCCCAGGCTAGGAAATCTACTGTGCTCAGACCCCTTGCTTCTTGTGGTGAATCTCTTCAGTTATAATTATCATCCTGTATATGGGTTGCCTGGTGGCTCAGATGGTTAAGAATTCACCTGCAGTGCAGGAGACCTGGGTTTGACTCCTGGGTTGGGAAGATCCCTTGGAGGAGGGCTTGGCAATCCACTCCAATTTTCTTGCCTGGAGAATCCCCATGGACAGAGGAGCCTGGTGGGCTATAGTCCATGGCGTCACAAAGAGTGGGACACGGCTGAGCGACTAAGCACAGCACATATGGGTTGCTGACCTGTGGGTGTGAGTCTTGGCTATACCCCTTCTCCACCCTTCCTGTCCATCTTATCGTGTTTCTTTCTTTATATCTATAGCTGTGTAAGGTCTTGTCTGCTCATCTTTCAGGTCATTCTCATCAATAGCTTCTCTGTATATAGTTATAATTTTGATGTGCCCAAAGGAGGAAGTAAGCTCAGAGTTTTCTTATGCTGTTATCTTGGCTACTCTCTGAATAAATATTTTAAATAGTGAGAAATGTGCAACATATATTTCACTTCATGCATAATGTCAAATGCTGAATATTTGTAATTATTCCCCCTCAGACAGGAGCTTGCAAGACGCATGGGAGTGACTCAAGATAGAATACAGGTGAGTAAAGTGGAAAAAAGCACTTTGGTGTAACAGCCATTCTAAAACCCACTTCAGGAACTGGATACCTTGTCCTGGACATTCTCACATTGGTTTGTTTTTGCAGCCTTCACTATATTTGGGAAGTAAGATTGGAACTTCTGGGACTTTGGGGCCAGAATATATACCTCTTCAGTAAAGTAAACTCCTTCTAACACTGATATCCTTTAGGGGGCAATTCTCTGTGGACTCATGTTGGGATTGAGTCTGACTTGGGAATTATTCAAATTAATGCACCAAATTGCTGGGTTATTAGGGGGTCCACCCCTTGAGTGGCAACTCACTCCAGTATTCTTGCCTGGAGAATCCCCATGGGCAGAGGAGCCTGGTGGGCTACAGTCCATGGGGTCACAGAGTTGGACACGGCTGAGTGACTAAGCACACAAGAGGGTCCAAGTATGCTAAATTATTTAAAATATTTAAGCCAGGCATCAGCTCTTTCTGCAAGGAGTGAATTTTCAAGTGTTCAGGCATCTGGGTAAGGGAATGATTTACCTCAGGACGCAACATATGAGCAACAAATATACGTTTAGTTTAGCTGAGACTGATGGGGAGGGGGATAATTTAAAATTCCAAGTGCCTGATCCTCCTGCTGTTGTTTTTGTGTGTTTGGTAGAGCAATGCAGGAGACACAAGAGATGTGGGGTCCATCCCTGTTTTAGGAAAACCTCCTGGAGTAGGAAATGACAACTTGCTTCAGTATTCTTGCCTGGAAAATACCATGGACAGAGGAGCCTGGCAGGCTCTGTGGGGTCGCAAAGAGGCAGACACAACTGAGCACACACATACTCACACTCACAACAGTGTAGAGTTTCAGCTGTAAATTTTAACTTTCTGAAATTGTTTGAAGTGAAGCCTGAAAACATTGCTAACATAGTAGGTTGTGCATTATGATGGAGATGGAGGAAAGGTTTGCAACCTTTAGGAGTTTGTTTAAATATATATATTAAAAGAAGTTGAATAAATTTCCACTGACCTAGAAAGGTAAGTTTGAGAAAATTGGTTACTGTCAATATATTTATTGGAGATATTGCATATATGCAACATTATGAAACTACCAGATGTATCACTGAATATTATTTTGAGCAATTTCTAATGTCTAAGGATTTTTTTCTGCCACTTTCATATTATATGGAGGGATTGGTTTTGAAGAATTTCTCTCTGATGGTTCCTGGTCCATGGCTCCAAGCCAGTGGCTTACTGTGTTAATTTGAAGCACTTGCCCATTTACTGAGATGGTGATGACTACTCGGTAGCTCAAGGCACAGAAACTGAATATTTGTTCTTAGAACAGAGTAAGTTGTATCAAGGGAATATTTTTTTAAAGTAGAAAATTTAGAAAGGAAGGAAGAAAAATCAGGAAGGTTTTATTATTTGCTTTCCTGCAGAGCCCCTGTGGGAGGGCAGTGATGGATGTGGGCTGCAGACCTGGTGCGGTGGGGGTGGCGGGGCTGGGAGCCTAAGGCCAGTGATTGGGCTCACAGTCACGTCTGGCCGGGGCTTGGGAGTCCCGGGCCTCTGCTCTCTTATGAAGGCAAAGCAAGTTCACTGGGGAAGAAAACCCAAAGTTTTGGTGACATGCTTCTCCTGGGATTACATAGTGGTCTCTTAGTGGAGTTCTGAAGGGAAAAGAACCCACAGGAAACACATAAGGGAAAAGAGAGAATGTTCCCACGTATTTCCAAATTCTATGGCACGAATTTCCCAAAGAAATATTTCATGGACACCTCCCCTTGTTTTCACATACAGTAAGAGTTACTCTATGAAGGCAGTACTGGGAATGTGGAAGCAGTAGCCGCCAGAACTTCAGTTAGCCAGTTTTGCATTTTGCTTACTTTATGCAGACTTGATCCCTGGTACACTCTATCCCCCCTTCCAAAATGAGCTCTATTAGTGTGGCTCATTAACACTACATATGCATGCATCAGAAGGGCACAGATACTAAGATGGGAGAGGAAAAATGAGGTGATAGAGAGAGGAGGCCCTTGGTTTCATGTAAAATTTGCAGTGTGAAAACATCCAAAAATATTAAATATGATGTAATTCCAATAACTGGGATGCTGAGGGAGCAGTGGGGCCCACAGCACAGGTTTTTCTTTCAGTTGTTAAAAGTTGGCTCATATTTCGAAGGAGCCATTTTGTGAATCCTGACCCACGTGGTTGTCAAGTCTCTTCCTAACATGCAGGTTGCACCCTCTTGCCTTAAGCATGAGGGGACGATGAGGCGCTCCTGGTTGAGTGGCAGCACCTGGAGAGCAGGGCCTTGCTGCGCACCAGAGACTCTGGTCCAAGGTCCTGCAGCCGCACCCAGAGCAGAGGGAGCTGACCGGGTCCTGAGCCCGGGCAGGTTTGGAGGGTGGGGCAGGGTGGAGAGTGCAGAACAGAGAAAGGCAACAGTGGTTGCCTCCTCCCCGCCATCTCTTGGCTGGGCCAAGATTTAAGAATGTTGGTCAGTTTGGGTTGAGTTTGTTCCGTGGACATGGAGCCTGGCAGGCTGCAGCCCATAGGGTCGCCCAGAGTCGGACAGGACTGAAGCCACACAGCAGCAGCAGCAGTCTAAGCCTCTCTGATCTGCAGCCTAGAGCTAAGGCGGCGTCCAGGGCTTCAACTCCACTGGTGTCAGCACACGAGCCACAGAGTCCCTGGGCCCCCACGACCAAACCTCCCTGGCAACACCAGCTCCGTCGCTATAGCCGTCCCAGCGGTCCCTGAGGACAGCTTTTATTTACAAATCCAGCCCGCGCCTACTGATTATTTACTGTGCACCAACGATGGGCCGTTCAAAATGGGTCCCGTTCCTCTCAGTGTGATTTTCAAAGGCACCCACTTTATCCTGAGCTCAACTTCTCCCATCACGAAGGTGCACCTGCCCAGTGAGTGGGGTTAGTGGCAGGAATAGTAATAGGTGGGAGGAGAGACAAGGCCATAAGCCAGTCCAGAGCCAGGCACGTCATCAGTGCTCACTTGCTGGGGTGGGGGGTGGGGGGCTGATGGGAGGCCCTTTAAGTAAATGTCCTAAAAAATTTTAACTGGAAGGAAATAGCTTCTCCTGGTGCAGTTTCCCATCCTCAAGTCACCAAGAGTTCCCTGCTCCTTTTCTTTTTTCTGTCTGACATTAACTGCTTCATGTACTAATGCAGCCCCATTTTCTCTCTGACTGGAGGTGTGGTTTAAGCGTAGAAGGATCATGTGGAGGAACTGTCGGAGAGCACTGAGGATCAGAGATGCGCCCGCTCTGCACGTGGCCCACCCTGTGTTCAGCAACTGGGGTGGACCCTGCAACACCATCCTCATTCAGGAGCCGAATTGGGTCTGGATCCTTCTGGAGCCGATGCCCCTGGAGCCGATGCCCCTGGAGCTGACGCCCGTGCTGCCCATGCCCCCCATGCTGGCCTTCCTGCCCATGCCGTTACCCCCTCTGTTTCTGCCTCTGCCCTGGGTTCTACCACCCTCCATTCAGTCCGGCTGCCCTCACGTGGCCTTGCCTGGTCCCCTATCACCGGTGGCCTTTCTGTAGCCCCATTTCCTCTTGAATGGTCTCCATGACAGCTTTGTCAAAAGTGCCTTTGAGCCAGATTGAAGTTCTGATACCTCACCATCAAGCACACAGTGCCTGCCAAGCGTGTTACATACACGTGCCGAGTCACTGACCCACTATTTTAGGGCACGTTTTCTGTGTTTTCAATAAAGTTGTGAAATCTCTGCACATTTGTCCTGTGTGGCACATGGGGTTAGTGCGTCTGATGGAAACTGCTGAGCCACACTCACCATCAGTAGGCCACACACATCTCCAAAGTTTCCCAGGTGCCCAGGAGGGGTGTACACAAACCCATCCATTCTCTTCCACCCTCATCTCCAACACCCATCCTCCCCCCACCCTGCCCCATTGGGACCACCAATGTGCAAGATGGGTGGCGTGAGTCTCCAAGGAAGGACAGTGTGTGCCAAGGCAGGCCCGAGCCACATTCGTGGTGATGAGGTCAGAGGCAAAGACCCCAAGGGCCACTTCTACAGGGGCAGCTCTTAGGGCTTATGGAGGAGAGGGAGCTGGGTGTTCATCTGGTTCTCTCCCAGTTCTGTTCACCGTCTTCCCTTTTGTGGAGGGGATGCGGGGTGGGGCGGGAGTGCAGACAAAAACCACTCTATCGGAGGGGGCGTTCCTGGCTCTGCAGAGGAAATGCAAGAGGAAACTCTGTCTAGGCCAGTGTGAGAAGTTTCCCCTCTCCCACCCCTCCCCAGAAGTGGAAACCTTAGCACTCCTTCCCCAGCTCAGAGCTGATCATGTGGCCTTCAGATGTATCATGTCACCTTCAACATCCTGGGGAGAACCCCACTTCCAGCTAATTGAACACCGCAGAGGAGGCTCTTGGTTAGGTGCTGCCTGGAGCCAAGAGGCATGGGCCCTGAGCACTGATGCAGTATAATCAAGTTATTTCAAAGCAGCAGGAAGACCTTGCCTTTGTTCATGTTGCCTTCTTCAAATGGAATTCCCAGGTAGAAAACACCCAGGAAAGGGTATGTGAGGAGAAGAAGGCCCTCAGCCAAGTTCCCCTTGTGGCCGGGGGTTGGGGTGGAGGAGGGGTGCATTTGCTGGCAGAGGAAGAGAGTCTTCTGCACTTGCCTATCCCAGAGGAAGGAGGGACTAAAGAATGGGGACGGGGAGCGTCCAGGCACAGAACCTTAGGCAGCTGGCTCTCCCCAGCCCTTGGCCAGGCCACTGTGCCCAAAGAAAACCCCAGTAAACTCTGGACTTAAAAATAAATATAATAACAGCATTGGGACTTCCCTGGTGGTTCAGTGGCGGGGACTCTGAACTCCCAATGCTGGGGGCCCAGGTTTGAACCCCAGTCAAGGAGCTGGATCGCACATGCAGAAGGTAAGTGTTCACATGCTGCAATACCACAATGAAGGTGGAAGGTCTCTCATGCCACAGCTGAGACCCAGAGCAGACAAATAAATAAATAAAATATTTTTAAAAAAACAAAACAGATTATTTCTTCTCTTAAAACCTAACAATATTGTGATGGTATCATGCTTTTTTATGTATGTCCAAATTTGTCAAAATATATACATTAAATATGTGCATTTTTGTATGCTAAGTAACAACAAGCTGAAATGAATACATAGAACAACAATAAAGTTTTTGGTAAGTCGGTAAGTTTGGTAAGCTCTGGCACGTTACTCATATAGTAACTTAATCCTTCAAAGAACGACCCATTTGTTCACTGGGTCATTGCGTCTTGACTTTTGGTAAAAGGATGGCTTTTGATGAATTGACTTGAAGCCAAATCCAAGATGTCTAAGGCCAAGCCAAGGAGGCAGGGTGTTTATTTATGGAAAGGTCCTATTTAGAACTCCCTCATGGAGCCCCAGGCTCCAACATGAGAAGGAAAAGGATGGGATTTTATTCTCACATATGAGTGAGGAAAATCATTCTTTATCCCCTCTCCTAAGGGCCTTTCCCAGGTGGCGCTAGGGATAAAGAACTCTCCCAGAGACATAAGAGACTGGGGTTCCATCCCTGGCTCGGGAAGATCCCCTGGAGGAAGGCATGGCAACCCACTCCAGTATTCTTGCCTGGAGAACCCCATGGACAGAGGAGCCTGGTAGGCTACAGTCCATCGGGTCACAGGGAGTTGGACACGACTGAATCGACTTAGCACAGCAGCACGCCCTGTGCTTTCCTAGTTCCTTTTCTCCCTTGACCTTCCTGATGAGAGGCTATTTGGCAGAATGGGTGTGAAGTCAGGGGCGTGGTCAAGTTTGGGGTCTGGGTGATGAATGGGGAGAACCCCTGCAGATGACTTTTGAGGAGTCCCCCCTTACTAACCCTCAATGCCTTAGTGAAGGTAGGATGCATGGAGACAGGAACATGGAACCATACATTAGCATATGGGAAATAGACAGCCAATGGGAATTGGCGGTGTGACTCAGGGAACTCAAACAGAGAAATTGTAACAACCTAGAGGGGTGGGATGGGGAGGGAGGTGGGAGGGAAGTAGAAGAGGGAGGAGACATGTGTACACCTGTGGCTGATTTATGTTGATGTTGGGCAGAAACCAACCGAATACTGTAAAGCAATTATCCTTCAATGAAAAGTAAATAAATAAATACCTGAGTGGCCATTCAACCTGAGAGCAGCTGCGGTAGAAATCTCAGAAGTTTTTGAATCCCAGTTCCCCAGGGTTTTCAGAAGGAAAGTTTGAGTGCTGTTATGGCAACAGGTGAGGTATTTCAAATCTTAAAGATGATGCTGTAAAAGTGCTGCACTCAATGTGCCAGCAAATTTGGAAAACTCAGCAGTGGCCCCAGGACTGGAAAGGGTCAGTTTTCATTCCAATACCACACAACTGCACTCATCTCACATGATAGCAAAGTAATGCTCAAAATTCGCCAAGCTAGGCTTCAACAGTTCATGAACCGAGAACCTCCAGATGTTCAAGCTGGAATTAGAAAAGGCAGAGGAACTAGAGATCAAATTGCCAACATCTGTTGGATCACAGAAAAGGCAAGAGAATTCCAGAAAAAAATCTACTTCTCTTTTACTGGCCATGTCAAAGCCTTTGACTCTGTGGATCACAACAAACTGTGTAAAATTCTTAAAGAGATGGGAATAGCAGACCACCTTACCTGTATCCTGAGAACTCTGTATGCAGGTCAAGAAGCAACAATTAGAATCAGGCATTGAACAATTAACTGGTTTCAAATTGGGAAAGGAGTACATGAAGGCTGTACATTTTCATCCTGATTATTTAATTATATCAATCAAAATGCTGGACTGGATGAATCCCAAGCTGGAATCAAGACTGCCATGAGAAATATCAATAACCTCAGATATGCAGATGACACCACCCTTATGGCAAAAAGCAAAGGGGAACTAAAGGGCCTCTTGATGAATGTGAAAGAGGAGAGTGAAAAAGCTGGCTTAAAACTCAACATTCAGAAAACAAAGATCATGGCATCTGGTCCCATCACTTCAGGGCAAATAGATGGGGAAACAATGGAAACAGTAACGGACTTTATTGGGGGGAGGGGGCTCCAAAATCATGGCAGATAGTGACTGCAGCCATGAAATTAAAAGACGCTTGCTCCTTGGAAGAAAAGCTGTGACCAAGCTAGGCAGCATATTAGAAAGCAGACATTACTTTGCTGACTAAGGTCTGTCTAGTCAAAGCTATGGTTTTTCCAGTAGTCATATATGGATGTGAGAGTTGGACCATAGAGAAACCTGAGCACTGAAGAATTGATGCTTTTGAACTGTGGTGTTGGAGAAGACTCTTGAGAGCCCTTTGGACTACAGGGATTTCAAACCAGTCAATCCTATAAGAAATCAGTCCTGAATATTCATTGGAAGGACTGATGCTGAAGCTGAAACTCCAATACTTTGGCCACCTGATGCGAAGAACTGACTCATCTGAAAAGACCCTAATGCTGGGAAAGATTGAAGGCGGGAGGAGAAGGGGATGACAGAGGACGAGATGGTTGGTTGGCATCACCGACTTGACGGACCTGAATTTGAGCAAGTTCCAGGAGTTGGTGATGGACAGGGAAGCCTGTTTTGGTGTAGTCCATGCAGTTGCAGAGTCAGACACAATGAGCAGCTGAACTGAGCTGATAGCAACAACAGGATCAACCCGTGGGAGGTAAGGCCCAGACACTGCTGTCTGCTTCAGGTCAGTCAACGAGGGGAGACTGGAGACAGGGGAGGAGGAGGGTGTCGTCAGTTACAGAAACTTACCTGACCTCAGCAACAGGAAGAGTCTATAGTTGCCTTACTCAGGTTCTTCCCAGCAACAGGTGAGTTTGCAGGGTTGTGCCACAAGGAATTACAATGATAAGTGTCATAGCTGATATGTACTGTATTCTTATTATGTGCCAGTCACTGGGTTAAGGTCTCAGTATGTATGAAGTCATTTAATTTTCAAAGCACATAGTAGTATTTTCACATTTAATTACAAAAAACAAGGAACAAAACAGAGACACAGCATTTACTTTGTTCAAGACAAACCCTGAACCATCCGTGCTCTTACTTGGCTGTTCCTAAATCCTGAGACCAGGGCCTCTGGCTGTGCTTGATGGTTTCTTTGTTTCCTTTTCTTCTCTTTTCTTTTTTTGGCCACACCCTGTGGCACTCAGGATCTTAGTTCTCCAGTCAGGGATTGAACCAGTGCTGCCTGCAGTGGAAGTGCAGGCAGTCTTAACCACTGGACCACCAGGGAAGACCTTTGATGGTTTCTTTTATAAATATCTTTTATCAAACACAGATGAGAGAGTCTACTATAATGGTTACCAGCAGAGTCAGGAGTAATTTACAAAACGTTTCTCTTTGTCAATTTCCTTGCCTCCAAAATGAGGATAAAGATACTGCCTACTGAGTATGATTTTTGGAGGATTAAATCAGGTAGTTCATTCAAAGTTTGAGAACAGTACATGGTAATCTTTCTCTATAAGCTTTAGATATTATTTCTGTTATTAATATTAGTTGTAGGAGAAGAATGACATGGTCTTAATTGGTAAAATGAAAAGATTATGACCTCTGTCCAAACCCAGTTTTATTTTACTAATATTACTAGTCTATGAAATCTCCAAGGCTTGGAGCCCCTGCCCTTAACCATGGTGCTTGTATATGGAGTGGTTGCTTTCTCCTGTTAAGACAATGTCTCAGTCCCAACCAAGAAAAGGAAGT